CTTATTTTATTAATTGAAAAATAGTCAGCAATTTTACTCAAGAAAAAATTATTTTTTAGTTGATATAAAAGATTAAGCCCACATATCATGAAATAAAAGCAAGTGCGCTCGATATTTTTCAAAGAATTTTGAATCAATCTAAATCCCAAATTTTAAAATATTTTTGAAAAGTCTTTGTCACAGGGTTTTCAATGTTTAATATGATGAAGAATATTCCCAAATGATTATGAAAAGTGAGTAAAATAATACGTTTCATTGCAAACGAACGAAATATATGTTATTTTCAATTATTACTATTTCTGTTGATCTTTTTGCACTAACACGATTCAATTATAATATGACTCTTTTGGAGTTACTTTCAGATTTACTACGCAAATGTTAATCAAGTAATGTAATTTTTAATTAAAAAATCAATATATCAGGGAAATATATTTGTAATATTCATCAAAGATACGTAAAATAATTAATAAATATTTTGAATAAAAAGGATAGAATATGAATACACATTATTTGATAATAGATACTTTTGTAAACACAATTTGGAAAGATCTATGACTGGTGCGACATATTATTTATCAAGATATTGTACTTTTTTGTTTGTAACAGAAGATTTTCTTAGCAAGTTTTCATTTTTTGAATAAAAGTTGCATCCCGTTCACACTATCAAAGTTTCGATAACTCATACGAGATTCGCTCAGACCCAGCGAAAAACCTAACTATGAAATAATGCGACGTAGGTTCTACGTTAAGAAACAAGATAAATGTCACAGAGAATCAATAATGATGTCAGAAAAACCAAACAATTTATTATCACAATTATGGATCCCCTGAAACAAAAGAAAAAAGTTAAAGGGTAAAAAAAATTAGATCCGCTGGTTATTAGAATCCATCAGACGAGATTTCCAGCCTTCCACTATATAATTTTGTCAAATAAAGTAGTCTGACCTACAACTTCGAACAAAATGCTTTCTTTGAAGTTACTTTCGTTTTGTCTGAATTCTAGAAAATTAAACATTTTAATACAACATTCATATCATACAGATGATGTTACAGAAAAATACAGCACATCTTAAGCCAACTACCATAAAGCTTTTCGAATTCTTATGCAGAATTTATGAAATCAAAAAAAAAAATCTCTCCGAAAACTTATTCTTTTTAATATTAACTAAGACTGTTTTTTATTAAACTAATGAAATGTGAAATAACGAACAGTGATTATTCCCAAAGTCAATTTTTAACAATATATTTTGTCAACAGAGCCAACAGGGACCTCTAAAAACATCAGAGGATGGAACAGGTGCCATGGAGGAGTAAGCATCACCTGCCGTGTGCTCCCTGTCATGGTCGAGTAAATGAAAAATCTGTGGACAATTCAGTCTGAAAAAATAGCTTTAAAATTTGTATGAAAAGTCAACATTTGCTAACAAGGTCACTGTATCGACCATAGAATTTGCAAAATTTTGACTTTAAATGAGTCTGATGATATCCTTCTATCATCAATTTCTTTGTCAATAGCTTGCCTCGTTTTAGAAATGGATTGTACGCAGAACATGGTCTTTCGTATCAAATAATCTGGGAGACACAAACTCCTAATGTAGGTGATAATGGTATATTGCTTCATAAGTAAAGGAAGGATGTGATATAAAAGTTGAAGTCATGATATTGACATATTCATCATAAAGTTAGGTTAATTTAGTTTGCAATAAATACTTTTCTCTTGTAAAATATCCAAATATGAAACATAGCACCCATGCTAATTCTAAGAGATTGTTGGAAGACTTGGTCTAAGAAAACCACATAGATATTTTAAATGATCTTCTTCATATCAACTTCAGAGTACTTGTGAGTATATCCAGCTTTTTAACAAAAGTCTGCTGATGACCAATAACAAGATATTGAAAAAGCATTTGTCTGTGATGTCAAAGATTCTGGTCTTTAATTTCTGTGAGGAATGGTTGTACAGTTTATAAAGTTTTGAAAAGACGTATGTTTTAATGCTATTGATTTCGGTAAAATTTGGTGCTTTCAATTTTTTTAAGCATCCCTGGAGTTTTTATTTTTTTCAATCTAATTATCGCTACTTCTCCATTAAGTTGTTTCACAGAACTCCTGAGTTTCTCTTCACGTTAATATTTTTGAGAGGAGTAAAAAGAAGAGGCTTGGTCGAACATGTACCTGAATTCGCTATGTATCTCTATTTGTAAAGATTTTTCAAAAATATGGTAATTCGAATTCAATTTGGTTGTAGGGAATATAAAAAAAATATTTAAAACTGACTTATGGCTTTGAATAGTTTCCTCCTACAGAAAGGGAACTATAAATACAAGTTGGATGACCACCTCTAGAATTAAATCCAAGTTTTTCTAAAATGCATTTGTTACAATGAGCTTTACAAACATAGACCATGTTGCTACCTGATTTGTAAGTTGTGACCAGTACATATTGATCGTTAATCTACTTAATTGTTTTTTCGCTTCTGAATTATTGAAGACAGAAGAATATAAGGTTTTCATGCTGTTCCTAAAAATCCTTAGTACGAGCTTTGAACATCCATCATTTACTTTATTTCAATTTAGGCGATGTGCGAAAGTCATATTCATAATTGATCAATCCTCTGGAATTATCTTCAACTGAATTTATATTAATTGGCAATAGGAATTAAATTAAACTACCAAGATTGGACTGTGATCCTCTTGTATACAGGGATTTAAAATGCATTCATGTTTGCCTGTTTAAGGTCCCTTCTAAACTTTTTCACTCATATTGAGACGCCACTACCGTTTGCCGGTTGATGGCTGCAAATTTAGACCTGTACTCTGCGCTTAAGGCCTTTGAGCAGTGAGGAATCTTTTTTGTGTCAGCACCTACCTTGAGACGCCACCACTTGCCGGTGGAGGGCTGAAAATTTAAACCTATACTCGGCACTCAGGGCCATCAAGCAGTGTGGGATCTTTTTTGTACCAGCACCTTCTGCTATACGGTACCCTGGCTTAAACGGTCTCATTCGGAGCGCCGGTCTCCACGTCTCGCAGTGGGATTCGAATCCGTGACGTATGGATCAACTCTTTACTCTGCAATTCTAGAGCAAACCCTCTCACCACTGCGCCAAGCAATGACGGGATTTTGAAGTAAGTTTAGTCTTAAGCATGCTTTAATGTCAATTGAACCATATAGTTTTTAAAATATCACAGTTGATTATTGAATTATTAAGAAATTCCCTGAAAGTTACCAGCATAAAATTATTCAGGTACGTACGGAAGTCCATTAGTGCCAATCTGTATATATTAAGGAAAAGCAATATATAAAAGAACACTTCAATATATAAAGGAAATGAGAAATATAAAAACAAAACATCGAAATATATAAAAGAAATGCGGAATATAAAAGCAAAACGTCGAAATATATAAAGGAAATGCGAAATATATATATATATATATATATATATATATATATATATATATATATATATATATATATATATATATATATATCTATATATATATATATATATATATATATATATATATATGTTAAATATACAAACAAAAACAGAATCAACAGAATGGTGCTATTTAATAGTGTTTATTTATTTATACATGCAAGTATCAATGAACTGTAATTGTAACATTATTTAATATAATGCACTTAATTGAGTAGATGGGCATTTAGTTGTATATTGATGAAATTAGTTTAATGTATATCTTATTTTCTGTGTATTTATTATCTTTACATGTCTTCTAGATCAACTTCGTTTTCACGGTCTACCTTGTTTACTGTTTACCCACAGATGAAATTTTATTAAAATAATGTTCATCATGGAGTCTTTTTCTTATGCCCATAATCAAATCAATTTAAATTAATTATATAAGTAGCATATAACCATTGATAAACATTTACATGTATAATTAAAAAGGAAATCGGAATTGGAGATCGGGGAGAGACAAAGGTACAATTTTTTCCCCACATCATTTGATTGTGATGGAGGATCGGATTTTGAAGAAGGCGATAGTTACAACTGTAACAATTTTAGGTCTTTGGTGTGAATAATAGTGAATTAATGATAGGAGACGAGTTAGTGCACACTTACATATAGTGATTATTGTTCCACCTTATGAATATTACATAACATGTAAATAAAATAATGGCGTTATTATTTATATTGACAAGATGATGAAAAGAACCCCCGTCAAAATCTCGTTATGTTATCGATTTTAAATACCCCATGCATCATTGCAAAACAAAGTAAAACGTTAACGAACTTAAAAACAAGATATAACACACATGCATTTTTGCCTGATACATATTTCAATTGAAAAGACTTCCAATTTTCAGTGTTATGGAATATACATATTGAGCAAAATTAATTCTGCCCCACACGTCTGAAATGTAAAAAGAACGGCAGTTTATTAGCTTTAGTTTTTCATCAAATAAAGAAAACAAAACAAACTGAATACCATCCTAGGACTGAGCAATATCAACCGTTCGCACTCAAACAGTAGCTCGATCGGGGAGCCGCTTATCAGATGTTGGCGAATCACTGATGTAATGGTCATTAAAGATCAGGGGATGGAAATTTTTAATTCTCTTTATATATACCCAGGTTTTGTTCATATATTTCGCATTTCCTTTATATATATCGTGGGTTTGTTTATATATTTTGCATTTTCTTTATATATTTCAAGGTTTTGTTTTTATATTTCGCATTTCCTTTTTATATATATGAGGTTTGCTTTTATAAATAGCTTTTCCTTTATATATACAGATTGGCACTAATGGGCTTCCGTAGGTACGTGTCATTCTAAACGATTAATATCAATTTCCTTAAACTACCCCATAGATTTCAGTATAACTCAATGTCAGAAAATATACAATGAATTTTTCATGTAATCTGCAATATCTACAAAATATGCACCGTTATAAGCTGAATTTCAATATAGACATCTTTTGTGCATTCAGTGAGTAATGTTTTTCATGTTATAAATACTAAAAAGCCTATAAAATTAGGAAAGATACTTGAATACTTTGATACTGGTATCTTCTTTTTCAGCCACCCACATATTATCAGACTTATCAACGGCGATGCAACAGGGTCTTAATATTCCATTAATCTGTTTCAAAATGCAAGAGATGAAGTGTCCATCTTGATTTATCAAGTGGACGGCACTGTTGAAAATATCTGAGATGAGCACATGGCCCAAACTATCGGTTGCGATACCTCGAGGGGTAAACGAAACAAATTGGTTGATTTTTATATTACCGTCATACGTCCATCGAAGAAACCCATGCTCATCCACTACTTTCGTTATATCTGGAAACGTCCAATCAATTACGCAGATGTCTCCATTCACATTTTCAGAAACAAAGCGAGGTTCGTCATAAAGTTTATTTCCATACATATCATATTGGATCTCGTCTATCTTTTCTCCTCTGCTGTTGTACCGAACAATTTTAGCCGTACTCTTGTGGCCCATACAAACAAGAACATCCCCGGATTTCGTACAACAAAGTCCGCTAGGTTCATATTCAGTGTCTGTAAATTCAGTCGTCTCATTACAGGGAGACACCCTGAAAATGCGTCTACTTTTCTTTCCAGAATAAATTACAGTTTCGTCATTCATCACAGCCAAGTCAGATGGTTCCGTTATTGTATGAACTTCAGCCAGTCGATTCCCTGAAATGTCTATCAAAAGAATTCTATAATCACCACCGTAGATATATGCCTTTTTATCATCAACACATGAAATGTCATATAATGTATTGCCTGTACAATGTAGATTTATTTCATACACTTTTTTTGGTTTCGGCAACAAAGTGTTATAATATAAACCAAGGTTTGATATATTTTTTGTGAAAGCATTCTTTTTTTTACTAACATATCTGGTTTTCACCTTTTTGGTTGAACTATTTCTCTTTGGAGGAGAGAATACCTTCTTTGTATTCATTGAATAGTAATTTATCTTTGAGGTAATAACTCTTCCAAATTGATTTATGTTCACTAATTGTCCTGGTGTAAAAGAGGAAGGTGTTAGCTCTAGCTTGGAAGGTAATATTATTTTCAGCTTGACATCAGGATTTTGTTTTCGGTACATTATAAGATTAGCTGGATGGTCAATATTTGTAAGATTCTCATATTTCTGAATGACCTCATGAAGCTGTTGAAGAAAAATTTCCAAATTTCCTTCATGCTGCAATATTATGTCCTCCTCCTTTTTCTCCTCCTTTAATGATTCTTTAATTTTATCATTTAATGTAGAGGTAATTAAAGCAATGGCTTGATCAGCATGTTCCTTCATTTTTTCCCGCATGTTTGCATGTCTTTGCTTTACCTCTAATTTATTTGATTTCATGTCTTCCAGGTTTTCAATAACCAGTGGTATAAACTCTTGTGTTATCTGTGATAGCTCTCCTAGCATGGTGTCCTTTTGTTTCTCATAAAGATCTTTTAATTTTCCAATAGAATGTTTTCCATGCGATTCTTCAACACAAAGAATACACAGTGGCAGTTCACATTCTTCACAACAAACTTCATAGGGTTTTGTCCCATGGATTTCACACATCTTTATCGTGTTGCATGGATCTGTTCTTCCTGATATAGGAATAACATTATGTCCTGACGGAACTTTGCTTTTTAGATGAAAAGGTTTGCATCGTGGGCAAATCTCGTCTCCACAAGGAACACAGAAGGAAGAAGCAGCTGTCTCCTCGCAGTACTGGCACAATATAACATCTTGTGCCTGTGCCATTTTGTCCAAAGGACTGAAACTAATGAAAATAAAATAAAATGGGAATGGAATTATCTATCAAACAACTTACCAGTTTTCTAAGAACTGACGTAATCATTGAGATATTTTAGCCCTTAAGATTTAAATCACTGATGTCAAACGTGTTTCATTTTCATGTATTCTTGTATAACTGAGTTTATTCAGTAACTGTTTTCTTTAGGGTTGTCAACTTGTCATCTCATGTTAAGAACTCTAACTTCCTTTAAAGCTTTCTTGCATATAGAAAATTTAATGTTTGAATGGAAATTGCAATCATATAAGGAGTAAAGACAGAAAAAGTGTTTGGGTTGTTTTTAGGATTGTGGGCTTAAATTTACAAAACATAAATGAAAACTTTAGTATATTGTAAGTTTTTTCTATTACATCTAATTTTATTTATCAAACATTCAAAAGGCATATCTTGGCATATTTAAGCATATGAAAAATATTTTAAATTTTCCTCAATAACACCAAGAAAAAACTTGAAAGGTGAAGGATGTAAATAGATGGGAAGAACACTTCAGTGTTATAAAACGATGTACCTACAAGCTAACATGGGGCATGAACAAGATCATCAGCGAAGAAAATGTTTCAAAGACAAAACTGTAATTCCCCATGGATATTCCCCATGGAACTCATATATTATCTGTAAAATACTCATTACAAAAACAACCACAATGTAAGTAATTGTACATATATCACATGCCTTTGAGTTTGACATATCAGAATGTTTGCCCCAATGTGATAAGAAAGTTCTGCAGAGTTATGTCGAAGGCAGAGGCTGGGTAACACACTAGGACTTTCCTGTCACCGAGGGGCAAACATTTTGAAATACTCACCCAAGATGCCATGTGGTATATGTTATAAAACATTTTTAAAATTTAAAAAATCGTCTAAAATTGTTTAAGTTTAGACAAATAATCCAAAAATGCTTTCATGACGTTAAGAATTATACTCCGTTGTTTACGTTTGCTTAGCAACCGACGTCATTAAATCTCGAACCCGAGCTATATATGCGTGACATAAAAGCACGTGAAAGTGATCGAGAGGGTGTTATAACTGTTTCCATTATGATTCTGCATTCTTCAGAGTTTATAACTTATTAAAAAAAAATCACTATAATTATTCAAAGCATTATATAACATTTTTAAGTAAGTTTCTCTATTATATTACAAATGAAATAAGTTTCCCATCGACTCCCTGGCTTTTCTGACACTTTTGGGCAAATATTCTGGTATGTAACCCTCAAAACCATGTGACATATGTATAATATATATATTTTTACTATGAAACTTCATTTTTAAGTTTAACGTAAAAAAAAAAACACTCTTTTTTTAAGTTTAAAAGGCAAATATATCTCCCAAATTTCATAATAAAAATTGACATCTGAAAATGATATTGAAAAATGTAAGTAAAGTTTATTAATTGAAAAAAAAATCCCAATTGAAAGAAAATTAAAAGCAATACAACTTCGTATCTTTATTTAACTAAAGTTAAAAAAAATATGATTTTGTAAGGGACATTACTTTCTCCCTTTACCCCAGTTAACGGATTTTTTTTCGACGGATTTTTCCGTTATTTCCCGATCATGACAAGGAGCACACGGCGGGTGTGACCCGTCGGCAAGAGATGCTTTCTCCTCCATGGCACCAGATCCCACCTCTGATGTTTTAAAGGTCCGTGTTTGCTCTGCTTCTGATTTATATTTGTTGGAAATGAACTTTTGTGCTTGAATACTGTGCGTTATCTCCATATATTTCATTATATGAATACTAACAGAGGCAAAGCTCTAAAATCGTTAAATTAAAGAGCTTGTTGCACATTGCAAAATTGCTTTTCAGGGTTTAGGGAAGCATTGTAACAGGAAAGTAACCTCAGAGAAAAAATTGATTCCAAAGAGAATTTTCTGGCTTCAAGTAAAAAAACAAAAGACAAAAAAATATGATACAGAGAAAATAAACAATTTCGATTCCTTAAGAAACGAATGTGATAGTTAAAAGGTCACATCCGGAACTCAGTTGACAAGGTTTACAGCCATCTGCCACAAAATCAAGTCAAACAAAAAAATTGATGTACAAATTTGAACAAATCCATTCTTTGAAGTTACTTTCGTTTTGTTGAGTTCAAAATAATTAATTTTAAGACTAGATTCTACTGAGAAATATTCTAATTCATTTAAATCATGCAATACATCTTTGTTGTAATAATTCATTCCTGTTCATTTAAAACATGTACAAAGCTTACGTTTATTAGGACATTATAAGACAATCCATATCTTCTGTTTGCTGGACAGGTTTCTTTTCCAGGTATTCTATAGCTAATTTCGAAAAACGGAAGTTAATTAAGTCCACCCACATTTGTTGTTCCTTTTACTCGCATAAGAGTTCAGTTGACTATACAGTATAAGTAATTGACCTGACAAAACCTTTATAGGTACATTCCCTCTCCCACAAGAAAACTTGGTATTTTTAAAAGGTATATTTGAACAACGTTGAATTAATCACAATTTTATTGATTAATGTATTAAATTTTTATAACAAAAGTTCATGTGTTCATAACTACGGATGCATGATCTCACTAAACAGACAGATTGTATATTGTAAAATGAATATTAGAAGGAAAAAAGCTTTTATTCACCCTCTTTTTTTCTATTTCAAGATTATCAATGAGTGATTCTGGTCCTGTGCCAGAACAATTTCACAAATATGGTGAAAAAAACTTATTCCTTTCATGTTAACATGACAAAATAAAGAAAAATATATATTGTAGAATCAACTCTGTTAGGGAGGGTGCAATGTTTGTGGATTTTGCGGTCATCCTTACCCTTGAATTAACGTTCCCACGAACAATTATTCCTTCAACGTATCAGTCAATTGAATCTTCTGTATGAATAAGTTGTCCACGAAATTACGTCCCCGCAAACCAGTTGAAATATTGACAAATATTGACCCCTCCCTTCACAAATTATCTATCAGAAATCTGTTTCACTAAAATAAATATTTAATGAAGGAATACAGACCCCAGATTCATGAAGAAGTCTAAAGCTCAAGTCAAAATATCAGCCATTCGAAAAAACAACATTTATCACAAACTAACACTTCAAAATTGAAATAAACAATATAATTTCGAATTTCATGCGCTTTCTTTAATATCCTTTGAATAATGGTCATATTCTGACTGGTCAAAAATAGTCACATTATACATGGGCCGGGTGCATTACAATTAATAGTGATAACATATGAAAAATAATGATTGATGAATAACAATCTTATTTTACTCTTTTATTCATATCTAATTGAACCAAAATCTTCCCTGAAAGTTAATTGGTTCCACTCTGGAGTCATCATCGACAGAGACAAGTTATGAACGACACTGCCTCAAATATGCTCCATACTTTAAGGTCACTTTAATATCATCAAAATATCCATTATTCAGAAGAACAAAAAATGAATCAAATCAAATTTTCAGATTTTTAGCTTTATTCAGAAAACTATATATCATCACATCTGTAAATCATATTGTGATCACATTTGTCCAGGACAACTTCATCTTTGGGCAGTGTTAGGGTTGGCGGATTTTTGGAGTGCTTAAACTATCAATTCTCAATCAACATGGTACATATAGAGATCTAGATCCTTTTTCTCAAAGAAATAAGTTTTACATATCCTTACTGGTTTACATTAATAGAATTTGCATTAGTGAGCTTATTCTTCAAATGATTGGGTAATTTCGGAAGTACGGCCACTTCTTTGGGTAAGAAAACCAGCTTTTAGTCTTTGATGTTGTTTTCTGATACGTAATCTTTGTCTTATTAACATTCCCAAATTGATTATTGTCCATAATTTGCCCTGCTGTAAATGAGGGGGGTGTTAATAGTAATCTGTCAGGCAGTTCTAGTTTCTGAACTACATCTGGATTGTTTTTCCGGTACAAAATAAGCTCAGCTGGGTGAGAAGTTTCTGTAAGGTTCTCATATTTCTGAATAATATCTTGTAGTTGTTGAAGGAAAACCTCTAATTTAGTTTCTTCTCTGGATATTTTTGCTTCTTCTTTATTCTCGTCTCGATAAGATTCTCTGAGTTTTTCATTTAAAATGGAAGTTACATGGTCGATAGCATGTTTAGCCTGTTCCTTCATCTTCGTTCGCATATTTTTATGGCTTTCCTTGAGCTCAGCTTTAGTAGATTTTAAGTCCTCCATACTATGACAGATCTGAGGTCTCAATTCATTCTTTACATCAGTGAGTTCTTTCAGCATCAAGCCCTTTTGTTCCTCATACATATCCTTTAGTTTTCCTATGGCGTGCTCTCCATGAGATTCTTGTACACAAAATAAGCACAAAGGAACTTTACATTCTGCACAGCTGACTTCGTAGGGTTTAGTCTCATGGATTTCACACATTTTTACCTTGTTGCAAGGATCTTGTCTCTCTGATATAGGGATGACATTATGTCCTGAAGGAACATTGCTTTTAAGATGGAATAATTTACAGCCAGAACAGAATTCGTCTCCACAAGGTACACAAAAGAAAAGAGCAGGTTCTCTCTCACAATACTGACACGGTAACACTTCCAGTTTCTGTTCCATCTGTGTAAAAATATAACTATGGAAAATATACCGTAATACATATTATTTTAAACCTGATGTTGGAACTATCTTTTTCATCATTTTTACACATTTTTTCTCGAAGATTTTAAAAAAAACTCAGTTATTTGTGATTAAATGCATTTTGTAAATATGAATTTTTGGGAAGTATTTTGACATCAACACTTTGTTTAAAAATTGAGGTAACACCTTGATAAGCAGCCATCAAAAAAGTTGAAACATTTTTTGTCAGAGTTTCCTTAAAATTAAGTTGAAATAAAATGCAACCTAATTACTTCAGGTTCTTGTTAAGTTAAAATTGAACCTTAGTCGGTAGATTCTTCAATAAAAAATATTTTATAAAATAACAAAAATATTCATTCCATAAGTTGCAATTGCTATTTTTGCGGTTGAATGTCATATACTGTTTACTTATAATGAAAGGTACACTATGTATGTGTTTTAATGTGAATGCAAGAATGGAAAATATGTTTTTCTGGAGGAAGTGGAAACCAAAAATATTAAGTATTTTCTGCAAATGTCACTTTCTAAATTTTAAAGGATGGGCTTTGGGTAAAAAGCTGAGTGGAGTGGAATGAAGTGGAGTCATGGAGTGGAGGCTGTATTGTATAAACAGAACAGAAAGTTAGAAAATGATTATAGATAGGAATTAAGGCTTAAACCACTACCCAAGATACAAAGAAAAAAATTCTGTAATAATTTAGTGAATGATGCATCATTGTGAAAAGCACAATGTGTACTTACAAAATTAGAAATAACAATATGAGTGATAATGATAACAATGGTTAATGAGTATATTTCAATAAATATTTATTTTATATCTTATAATTCATCTTGGATTCTATCTTGGATTCTATCTAGTTGACAAAATATATATCTTGCTTCTGTAGTATGTAACAAGAGAAAAGGGAGGTATTTTTTTTAGAAATTGAGAAACAACAATGGAATGAGATACAGGGAAAAAACTAGTTACATGTACCTTCACTTATAATAAAGAGGGTAGCTTGTACTTTAATAGTAAAACCTAAAAAAAAAAAAAACTAAATAAAAAATAAATTAAAAAAAATATTAATAAATACATAGATAAAAGTAAAAATTATAAAAAAGATTAATTGACGTTGAAAATAATTATGTACCTTAATAATTCAATAGTTGTGATCAGTTCCTTGGTGCAGTGTTTTGCTATTTACTAGTCTCTGTTTGATATTAAAGCTGTCAACACCTATTACTAAGTTTGTCTGTTTTGGATAGGAGTGCAGGGTCATATGTATATCTGAGTCTTTTATATATTAAAAAAAAGACAATATTAAGTAGGTACTGTTATTTACAATCTTCAGTGCAGTTGTTTGCTATTTATCTGCTTGATTTTGAGGCTGTCAACACCTCTTACTAGGTTTGTCTGTTTGGGATAGCAGTTTAGTCCCATAACATAGTCTTTGTCATTAAAAAAATAAAGGTGATCCTCTGTGCGACATTTAAAGGTCACCCGCTTTTTTGGTTGCACGTTTCATTCTTTTTACAAATGCAAGAGAGAGATTGTTTGTAAGAGAAATTGATTTGTTTTCAAACTTTCTGTACTGTTACAATACAGACTCAACTCCATGAATCCACATAATTCCACTCCATTCAGCTTTTTACCGCAAGCCTTAAGATGTTTTTCTAGTATAGATGTGTGTAAGTGCTCTAAAAATTGTTATATCCTCATGCTAGTGATTGAATGAAAGAAAAAATAAATTTCATTTCCTTTTCTTGTATTTCGTCGCTGTAACCTACATGTTAACTTCACTTGGCTAATGTAACTTCCTTTTTTTATTGCTACTTTTTTGATATGCAAAAGATACATAACACTTCACAGTCATATTGAGAAATAATGTCCACTGTCAGAACTAAGCTTCAAGTCTAAATTTAGACCCTAACATCAAATCAGTGACCTACTTTCATTGTAGAAAAAGAAAGAAAAAAGATAACTAACCTGATTTGATTTTAAGTCACAGTTTAAAAAATTTAAATACACATGGAGTTCTTAAAGTCCTTAGACATGTAAGAAAAGCACTGTGGATTCCAGGAACGGTATATACGTCGCTGCTCAAGAGGAGTGAGTTCTGATCACATTTATTATGATAATTATCTAGGAACACTAACTCCCGTGGAATGAGTTGATTCGCCCTACGGACATATCGCACCGTGCAGATAGAACTGCCAATAATGGAAAAGAGTACTCCTGTATTCCCTGATACGACAAAATGCAATGAATTAACTTATTAGAACCAAAATAAAGATAAAATATCCAAATTAAAATTCATACAAACTTTAATCTTGCTATATAAGTGAAATCATCTTTAGTAGCTGGTATGATTGATTTATTGTTTGCTGTTTTACGTCCCATGGCCGTAGGAACCGGGGGAGGGGGGGGGGGCACGGGGGGGGGGGCGTGCCCCCCGATAATTTTGCCGACATATAGAATACTATAGAAAAAACAGAAACTATATGCTTGTGCCCCCTCAATGAAAATGCCCGATGACCTTTTTTTTGCTTGTCAAGGAATTTTTGGTAGTTGATAGTGCCCCCTCAACTGAAAATGTATGGCTGTGCCCCTAAACTGAAATTGCTTCCTACGGGCCTGCGTCACATTGTCGCCATTTACTATAACACGGCCACCAATCGCTCAAACGATATGAACAATAACTTAATAAAAGGGGTCGAATCACATTCTTTGTTTTGTTAAAAAAAAAAATGGTCAAAATACTGCAAGAAAAAGAGCTCAACTTACCTCCGAAGCGAATGCAAAAGTCCCTCCAACGCATATCCGGAAGTCCCGATAACGAAATTCCTTTCATATCATTTGGATATGAGTTAGAGCGATTGGTGGCCGAACATGAAGGGTTTGAAAATTTAGACCTTTACTTGGCACTCAGGGTCATTGAGCAATGAGGGGTCTTTATCGTGCCAATGCCTACAGTGCTAGGGGGCCTCTGTATTATCTTATATATACAGATGTGTGCCAAATGTGAAGATAATTTTATTCTTTTCTCTATATGCTAGTATTTCATTGAAAACAACATTTTGTAAAATCACTGAAATGACAACATTTCTTGACAGATTTTACCACAAATTTTTCGATGATCCAAGAAATTGTTATGTTTGATAAAAACAATAGTTTTTATCTGATCAGCGTTGATATTTCAAAAATATTGTAATTTAAGTGCGACATGAAAATTTAAGTCATATACGCACAATGAATTATATAGTCAACATTGATCTCGAATTTTAGAACTGATGTTAATGTTGAACTATCTTTTTTCTAAAATGATCTTTTAGAAAAAGATAACTACACATTTTCTGGTTTAAATACTGAAATAAATAATGAAATTGGACAAAAAATTGACGATTTGCCAGCGATTTAATTATATGTGGTTTTCAATAAAATATGTGGAGGAAAATAGAATTATCTTTATCACTTCTAGCAAGATCTATACCTTTTAATCAATAAGATAAACCTTTGAAAGCAAGAGTTTAAGGCTAATCACTCGTCATAGGTTTACGAGGGTCATTCAATAAGTAATGCAGCTATCAGTTTATCATATTAAATGTAGAAGTATTCAATTTTATTTCTTAATAGTTGAAAAGTTCAATTAATGAACTCCTGATTACAGAAAACTCCATGCTTTTTCCTATTGTTCTCGCAAAGGAATTCACTTTTAAAGGAAGCGTGGTCACTACACTGAGCTGAAAACAGTTTAAAAGTATCTCTGCCAAGAAGATGAAAATGAGGACGTATGTGAAAACTGCTTCATTACATGAATAGCTGAAGAGATGATTTTGTTATGTGGAAAGACTAGTCTTTCACGCTGTAGAGCTTTTAGATGGATTCGAAAATTCAAAAGTAAAAGAGTACAATTAAAAGATCGCAGTCAAACTAGTCGATCAAATCTGTAGGGGCACCAAAAATATCGATGCTATGAGCAACATGATATCTGAAAATGCCAGATTTACATTGATAGACATTGCTGAGACACTAAACATTTCATCGTACATGTACAACAATTTATAGAGTTCCGACAAATGAAATGAATCTTACAATAATTCTATCAGATAGTTACCTTATTTCCTTACAAATGCCTAAGAGAAAACACATGTTAAATGTGCCAATGGTCTACTAGTATTTGAAAATAAACATTTCTACAAAAAAGATTTGATAAACATGAGTGATGGATGACTAAACATGGGTGTACTTTTTATTGCCGAAAAGGAAGATCAAAAATAAAATGTGGAATCAAAGAGAAAGTTGTCCTATTATTGCATAGAGAACCAAGGGCTCCAAACATGTTTTATTAATTTTCTTTTTATTCAAGAGGTCCAGTAAAACAAGTACATAGATCCAAAGGGAGGATTATCAATGGTAACTTTTATGTTCAAATTTCACTCGGGAAAGTTAAGCAGATTTCCTGCAAACCAAGTCCAAATACAGCCCCCAGTGTATTTTTTCTTTACTTGCCTTTGCTGCTGCAAATAAGCCTAGAGAAATAGATAAGATTTTGAAGAAAAGGAAAATTTTTACCGAGATCAGCCATCCCCCATATTTCGCTAGATCTCAGCCATTGTGAGATCTTTTTATTCCAAAAACGCATGGAAACAATCAAAGGAAGATTTTACAATTTCAAGTATATCATGGTAAGTGCTATTCATCGGTGTCTTTAGGGTATACCTAAACATGAGAATGCTGAATTTCATGGGTACAAAGACATAAAACATGTGTAAATGTTAATAGAGAATGCTTTGAGGGATTGGAAGCATTAAGAATCTGCTTTACGTGCTTTTCCTATTTTTAGATGACCTTTTACATTATTTATTGAGCGACCCTCGTACATAAGTAAGTGTTTTAGGCATGCATTGTAATTCTAATTAAAAACTTTACTTTTTTATCTGATAGAGCGAGTAATTTTTTGAAAGTACCCCGTTTGATAGCAACCTCACTGGGCAAAGTTTTTATACTAAAATTGGGGAAATTTTGACTTTAGAAAAACTTCTAAAACTTTAAACGTTGTCTATGGAATTGAATGTACTCTATGCGGACAGCCTTATATTGGGGAAACAAATATTTCACTCAACAAAAGAAAGTCGGCGCATAGTTTTGAAATAAATAATGGGGGCTATCAACATCTTTATAAACCTTCGTCGAGGGGGGTTGGGGGGGTTGTCCTCGCCTTATACGCCTCCATTTAAATTTGAATGGATTATTTGAGAAAGCTCAAGCAAGTCTATACTTATTAGATTCTTCAACGCAAAAAAGTGAACATCACTTACATCAGCCGTTTGTAACATGACAAAAGTTAAAATTAGATAATATAAGTGTAGCTTCAAAGATTAAAAGTCTTAAAAATTCAACAATATTCTGTAAAGTTGATACTATTTTCCTTGAGAAGAAATACTTAACATGAAAAGTGCTGGGAACAAGTTTCTAATATGTGGGAAGCATGTGAAATTTAGCTCTACTGACAGCGACTTCATAAGCATTGAAATAATGTTACATGTACATTACCAGATAAAGCAACAGCGCACTATCAGCTCCTAGCACTTTTCAAAATGGTAAGAAAAAAAATCTACATGTGAATTTTTTTTTTTTGTAATGAAGGGATCCGTGTCTATCATTCCAGTACGTGATATTGTAATTGTTGTCTCGAACCTCTGCATAGGCCGATGTAAGTATAAGAGTCTTTAACCTAGATGCCGACATCTTAAAAGGCACGCTTACGGTAGATCTAGATGAGCGTTTGTTGATACCAAATACATTTAAGAAAAATGAAAGAAGTTGGAACGTGGATTATCAAAACCTGCAATATATAGACAGATATTCTTTTCTTGTTTTCTGCAAAGTCGTTAGATAATGCAGATCCTTGGGCATGATCTTCCAGTAGAAATATTTTGCAGCGCTTGTTATCACCTCAACGAAACCTCCTAAGCTCAATCCAGTAGTAAGTGCGGATGGATTTTGCATTTTTAATGTAAGCATTGTGATAAATGAGACATTTTAAGCCGGAGCAGATAGTTGATATCTTAAAAGTGAATGATCTTGTTGAAGTATATTTGCATAAAAATATCTGTTTCCATTTAAGATACAGACTAAGATTAAGATCAAGATACATGTACATATACTTGTCATTTGGGGCATTACTGAGTGTCCGATAGTTTCATATTTAATTGGACTTGAATGGTGAACTATCATAACTTTCAAGCATTTCTAAGATACGAGTATCTCCATCGTCTACAGAAAAAGGAACTCCCTGATTGTAGTTCTGAAGATTTCCTCTGTATGAGAATTTGTACCGGAAGAGAAGGGATTTCTTTCGAAGGCAGTCATATTTGTGTTCCGAAAAATTATAATTTTCGGAAAGTAACTTAGTTCTATTTTAGGTGTGTCCACACATATCCTCTAAATAAGATCGCTGTCTTGTTGAAGAAATTTTTTACCTCTAGTGTATACAACGACATATTCTAGAATCTCTTCAGAGATTTTGATAAAAGTAGTTTTTATCTTGCAATCTCTATTACATAGGTTTAAGAAAATTTATGCACAGTTAAGACAAAATATTAAGTATACAAAACAAAGTAATACGAGTTGTGTTCATGCACCGCTGTTGATCAAGGGATTGAGAACTGTGACTGACGGTTTATTGGTATACACAAGTAAACATAGATAGACTTAGAAATTTACAAAACAGATACACCAATGAAAATCCTGAATAAAGAAAGTTATTTCCTCGCAGAACATCAGAAATAGCCCAATCAACCAAAGCCCAACGAAGCAAAGCTGCCTTGGCCCAAGTAAGGTTGCATCTGTTTTTATCCATCTTAATTTTCTAGGAAATTTTACGTATTTGTATAATTTGCGACCGAGTTTTATCACTTTTACACCTTCATCATCAAATTTTGTATTCTTATCTGTGTAGCTTTCTGTAGATTTTGGCGTGAGAGACCTCTGAGCGATTCTTGATACGAAATAAGAGCAGCCTTTCTGTTCCCTGATATCTGTTGACATATCCCTAGGATCTGCCAGGAAATGTCTCGAGCCGGATGCATTGAA